TCATGACCTGGGGCAGATGGAGTGTTCCACAGAAGCACAGGGGGCTCCTCAGTCCACTCGACAGCAGACCCAGAAGTGGACCAGATGCACTTCCAGTCCACTTCTGAGTCCTCCAGGGAGGGTCCCCCCAGCTTGGGTTCCCTCAGCTCAGCAACTGGTGTCTCCTGAGTCTGGGGAGTCTGGGATACCCCCATAGCAAATTGCTGGTGGTGAACCTGGAAGTGGATAGGAAGTATTTCTGGTCCACTTCCAGGTTTACTACCAAACACTTCCCCCCCTGCCCCCCGTACTCCTGTGGGATGCTCCATCCGCCACAGCATTGCAGCATTCATTAGCCACGCCTGGTACCTCGAGGTATGTAGAAGAAACATTTAAAGCTGTATCTATGGCCAAATTGCTGATTCTCTGAATCAGCATCAAATCTTCACATTCGGATTAGGCTGAACTGAATCAGGGACAGTAATCTGAATCAGCGAATTGATTACTGTTGCCAATTCAGGCTGCATCCAAACCTGAATCAAATACAGCCCGTTTCACATACCCCTACTGCAGAGTCTATGCAGAAAGGACACGTATGCAATCTTTCAAATACACAACCCTTCAAATGCACAACCCTAAGCCTTAAGCATTAATGCAGAGTCCATAGCTATGCTGGAATGAGCTCAAATTTCTTTTTCCAAGTCTGATGAGTTTCATTCCCTGACTCTCCAACGGCTGTTCCCTTCTATTTTACCACATCTTTTTTCCTGTGATTTTTTTAGACCGGGGCTGCCCAACGAAAAGGCCCCCACAGACCACACGACACAGGTTGTATGAACGCTCCCCTGCAGCACATACCTGCGCATCCTACACTTCCTGGTTGCATTATGCAGGTGCCCAATTGTAATTTCCCCCTCCCAGCTGTAATGTACATGCACAGTTCTCCTTACACAGAACCCTGAGTCTTCCATTCTCTCTCCCAGTATGTGCGTGGATAGGCCCAGACTCATCATCAGTTCTCTATGCTACTGTAGTGCCCCGCCCCCCCCCGCGGTAAAGACAAGAAGTGGCAGCTGAATCGGGGCTGGAGACTGGTTGCTGTTGTCACCAGAGCTGGGGAGGAGGATGGTGGCTGGGTGAGAGCTAAATGAGGCCCACAAGTTGGACAGTCCAGGTCTAGGCTGATCCGTTTAAGGGCTGGTTTGCATTTGAGGGATGGTCTTTTCTATTGTTTCTAGGATTCAACAATTCATTATGAGTCCAGGGTTTATTTAAAAAACTAAGCAAAGTAATGTAGGGTAATTAAATTTTATTAACTTATTGACAGCTCACACTGCTCCCAATTCAAAATGTATTCCTTAAATACTGTAGCTGCATTTTTCATTCTTTAGCAATAACTTCGTCTTTTAGGAAGTTGAATACTTAATAGTATATTCAATAATTGGGCCACATCACCATAAATGGCTGTGAAAAAAAATCAATGACTGCTGCTATGATATTCACAGTCATCAGATTGCCTAGATTTTATTTTGAGGTGAAGAGTTTTCATGCCTTGGTCAGATCATTTACTTTTGTATGCACTTCAACTGTGAAACAGAGATAATTACTACTTACCCCTTTCAGAAGAGTACCTTAAGGCAAGATTCAGACTATTTTGTGGAGGCTGGTGATCTTTGAGTGGAAGGCAGTATTTCAATGACAGAATTACAGTTATGCTAGTACCACACACGCAAAAACTGCATTTGAGAAAGTGGCCATGTGATGAGCTACTATGAACTGGGGTACAGTGCAAACCAATTTAGGTTTCTTGTATCTCAGCTAATATTCTAGCACAGGGTATCAAAGATGCAGCCTGTGGACCTGTATAATCCAGCCCAAAATACTGCCCAAGACACTCAGGCTGGAATTGCACACCACGTGCAGCACACCCTAAAACAGTCTGAACCCCACATGAAGCAAATGGGACTGGTCCAAGGTGCGTGCTGCATGTGGCACCTGCACCAGATAGTCTGTGCGATCTGGATTCAGTATGTGGGCAGGTCTATGGGCCTAATACAGTGTGTGGAGCAGTCCCATGCCACTCCTTCTGTCCACAGGACCCGATAAGCTTGATAACCCTGTTGTAGCACACATGGTCTTACCATAATAAGGCTAAGCACACTCTTTTTTGCCTTTTCTTTTTGGAAAAGGAATCATGCATCAGAAGTGCTTAGGAAGTTGAAAGTAAAACTTCTTTTAAATTTACATTAGCAGTGAGAAGGCTGTTACAACAATAGGCTTCAGTGTAGTTCTTCACCTTGAGTCATAGTGACTTTCATGGGTGGCTTTCCAAGTAACTTTCGCTGTTGACAGTTACTGTCTTTGGACCTGCTGAGGCAGCACTCTTTCAGAAGCTATTTGCAGCTGGCTCTACCACAATATTTCCCTTGTCTTTCTCTCTCGCATTTTCACGAGCCGTTCTGCTCATAAGATTTAAATGTAGCTGATAGTCTTCCTTTACCCAGCATGATGAGTGCAAGACAACTCTACATCTTAAAAAATCAGTCCTAAAGCTTATTTATGATATTAGTTTTAAAGTTAGGAGTCACGTTTTTCCAACAGTGATATTGGTTGCAGGATTTAAGACCTTAAAAGCTTTCATTTTTTGGAGCTGCTAAGGAACTGCTGTCTGATAAAGCAAGACATCTTAAAGTTCTCAAAATCTAGTACCCAATAATTTAGCTTCTCTGGACTTGTATTACTTGCAGAATGTTTGTGTGTTGTGGGAGTGGAAACAAAGGGCCTAATGAACAGGAATAGGGGTGTTTTTCTCATCAAGGATCCTTTTTCTTCTATGTGTACATACTTAGAGATTTTCAAATTAAAATTATTACTATTTTGTACAGTATTAAGCCTAGCCAAACAATGAATGACATCTATTGTCAAATAAGACAAAATTATCTATTCTTGATATTTATTCAAACAAAAATACATTACATTTAAAACTGCATAAAAAGTAAAGAACTATTTCCTGAAGCTTCCACAAAGAATCTACAAACTCATGTCTTTCTACCTGAAATGTCCAAGCAGGTATTTGTGAATCCTCTCCCATGCCAACTAACCTATATTTCAAGTTACATTACTTAGCAAAAAACATTTCACAACTGAACAGTAAGTCGCAAGCATTTGCTGCATGCATTACCCAAGACCTTTAGCTGTGAACAGATAACAGTCTTATATAGATACACTTGTCTAATCCAATCATTTGTAAATGACACTAGTTAATAAGTTTACTTCACAGTTATTTGCCAATCGATCACCTATATGCCCTTAGTAACGTAAGTTAACTCTAAACATCTCACACTTACTGGCATTTCTATAAATTCCACTCAAATTAAAGTTTTGTACAGTGTAAGTTGTTAAGAATCAAGCAATATCAAGGTAAAAAAAAATCTAAAAACAAATGTGGCCTTACTGGTTACTTTCTCCTCAAAAATAAAGATTGATACACATATTATACAGCCTTCTGTTATTTGAACCTGAAATTCTAATAAGAAGGCATCCTAAGTGATATCAGTTCAGTTGTAAGGATAAAGGATTGTTTGCTTTATACTCTAGAACAAAAAAAGTTTGGTTTGTGTATTTGATTACACATAACTGGACCAAAATGCCTCAGTAGAAACAGCAATACAACACAACACAATAAAAGCTATAAAACTATACTCAGTCAAACTTTAAGTAGATTTAATGAAGACAAACATATTCATAGCATTTGTATATGTTCTGGAGCATGTTTAATTTTGTTCTGGGGTCTTCCGTGTTAGAAACAGGAATAGGCCTTCAAAGTTAACACTTTAAATTTTGCCTCCCGCTATTTGTTTGGTAGTCTAATTAGTTTTCAGCCCACATCCTCTCTGTTTGCCTAACCCCTCCCTCCCCCCCCCGCTGCAATTGTGAATGAAGTTTGACACGTATATAAAACCCAAGTGTCACAGTAGACCATAGATGGGTAATAACTATGTCCATGGGTGGTCCTCACTAGTCCTATGGTATTGGCTCCTCTGACCTTTTAACGTATATTAAGACAGACAAATATTAGCTACTTTACTTTTACATTACTTTTCCAGAAAAGCAACTGCTGCTGCTGCCATGGCAATATTCATCTACTGTAACTGGCACATGAAGTTGTCTATTCAATGCCTGGGTTGCCAAGATACCTGGAGGTCTTTCTGCTTATGAGTCTCCATACTGTGACAGAAATTGTCCTCTCTTAGCTAACAGATCATGGTTTGTTGACCTCTGATGGCTCTTAAGTGCAGTGCACGACAGTAACATTTGGATGCCAAGACTCTTAGGCCTATTTGATCAAGCACCGGCAAGTTTTGCATGCCTAGCTCCCACTAATAGGTAGAGTTTCAGTTGTATAAGGCTCCTGAATTGGTAGCCAGTTGCATATCTGAGATACTGGGGAAGCCAATGTAGATTATGAGCAGGGATCCTGGTTTTTTCTGATAAACCCTCCCCCAACAATTTTCAGATTAAAAGTAACCCAAAATCCGCATTTTTCCATGATTAAAATTAAATGCCACATACATACATTCATATATACATCCCCCACCCACACACACATAGACACCTACACACACAGTATTTTTTCATTTTAATCACAAAAAAATATGGTTACTTTTTTAAATCTGAAAATTGGATTTTTTTTTAAAATCAGAGACAAACCCAGGATACCTGATTATGAGTAGTGCCTACTTAAAAGAAAAACTTCAAAGTCTCCTGAGACTACATTCAATTATTTGAAGTAGTGAAAATCCAAAATGGACAACTCTGTTTAGTTAGTCACCTAACTTCAGAGCTAAGGAAGCTGTTTCCTGCCACCGAAAGCAACAAAAAAGAAAATCGCTGCCTTCCTGGGCCTCTTGGGCCAAATTGTGATGCTCAGGAGGATAAGGTAGCAAACTTGACTATATCCCATTCTAAAAGCCATCTTGTTGAGCTGGAAAGCATTTTGCTGAAACCAAAAGGTAGGGCTATTTTTTTTTTTATTTGCCCTCTTCTTTTTTTTGAAAGCAATATAGGATTACTGCCATTCCACAAAGCAGCGGGTATCAAATTAACACACCACATGGAATTTTCCAGTGCCATATGGAGTTTATACACTCAGTTTGTAGCTTGCAAAAACAGGAAAAAAGAAAAACTGTCCGAATTCAGAGACTAGCATATTAAAAGCTTAAAACACTCACAGGTCCAGGCACCCAACTTCATTGGCCACTTCTAAACTATACCAATTTGACTGCTGCAGGATCTGAATGAGATGCAAAAGATCAAAAAAGAAGCCGTTTACCCTCCCTAGTTGTAGCTATTTATTTATTTTTAAAGAAGCTCCATTCCAGGTACAGTGTCAAAAGTCCTTAAACAAAAATCAGACTTCTAAAAATGGGGCTGTTGGGCCTGCCTACATAAGCTGAAACATGTTTCTCCAAGGATGGTATTCTTGAAAAGCTACACCATTTCACAGTTATACTCAATATTCTGTTCACTCATCCCTTTCACAATTATCTGGCATAAGTGACTTTGGGAGTTCTGCCTTATTTTTTGGTGTTATTATTTTGTCCTCTTTTTTTTCTTTTTCTTCTTAACCAAACACCAGTTTAGTTTTTCTATCATTATGTTTTCTGTCACATAGGGTTTTAAGCCACCTGGGCCAGGGACTGTTACCTATTAACTGTACAGAGGCAGACATAATGGGTATCTTTAACTTTGGGGCTCCCAGGTTCTACCCATAAAATGAACTGAAAATACTTGTCTATCAAGTGTCATTAGTAAGGATGTACCTAAACCACACTGAGGCAAAATAAAAATAGCAGGCCACTTGCAATGCATTGCACCATTTGCACTGTCTTTCTTGGTGCCCCCTCCCCCACCAATTGGCTGAGGGGCTCCAGTGACCCCACCCCTCACTACTGATTGGCTAAGAGAGCTACCCATCATATGGTCCTGCCCCTTGCTGCTGATTGCAGAGGGACAGGGTCATACAATGGGCAGCCCTCTCAGTCAATGAGCAGAGAGGGACAGGGACAGGGGCAGGGACGGGGGGCAGCCACAATCTTTCCTGGTGATTCCATGCCAAAATTGCAGGGAATTGCCGTTTTTGTGGAAGCCACATCTTTGTGCCCTCAGCCTAGCAGGTTATTTTTTCTTTTTTTAAAAACTGTATTTATGAACACATGCCTTAAGAATTTGTTCCTTACTAAGTTTTATAGATACTTGATCTGTCATCTGTCTCACTCACTTCTTGTACTAAGTTTGTCTTGGGCATAGGAGTACAGGGATACAAACATCCTTCAGGTCACAACAAGCATCAACCCTGTAACGAAACATATTTTACATAAACTTTGGAGAGCCAGAGGAAGGATGGTTAAGCATTTGAATTTTGTAGCTCTGCTTGTAGGGAAAGAACAACCCTACATCATTTATACTCCGATTAAAAAAGAAATCAAACCCTTATGCCCCAAAATACTTTATTTTTACACTGCCAGTGGCTTCCACAGCAGTAAAATTGAGATTTGCTCTGCAATGAATTCAAGGCATTTTCTAATTCACAGAGCAATAAATTAGCAAGTCAGGTAGTTTCATCAGTCATTACTTAGGCAGAGAAAGGACACTTTATCATGGCTAACAAACAAGTCTTCAAGAGACCAATACTATCTCTTCCATGTACTCTCTTCACTTCCATTTCTGAGGATCATGGAGGGGTTTGTCTTCCTGAAACTGTGGCAGGATGACTGCTTTGGAAAAGCTGTCAGTGTTCAAAATTTTCTTATTTTTAGAGTATCATACTGAGTATGTGACAAAACATTAGAAAATGCTCTCAGCAGCATGCTAGGCATCCTACCAACATCACTGGAAGCCAGACCGCCTTCCAACAAAGTCATCAAACCAAATCCACCCAGGTGATGCAAAATAAATTCATCCATCTTATAACAGAGTGGGAACTAATCTTGCCTGCCCTCTCCTAGTAAAAGTTAGGCTAGGTGTTAATTGTATGAGACTGTGTCATGGAGTCTCATTTCTACAGGATCAATAAAACCAAGTTACTTCTGGATGAAAGCAATGGATACTCTAATTTTAATTCTTTCTGAAGATTTTTTTTCATTGGGAGACTTATCACAATGAATTTCAACAAAGATTCATGTCTTTGATTTTGCCTCATAATTAATAAACAATTCTTTCTGTCAGATCCCAATAGCTACATTCTATTGAGCTGTGAATAAGATGGTTAAAGTTTCATTATTTTTAAAAACATAGTTAAGATGCTGGTGTTTCAGCTGGAAAACCTGATTAAGTTCACAGTTAGGAATCCTCCTCCTCACTCAAGAAACCTCTACTGGTTGGGACAGCAACTCTTTTTTTCTAGTTAAATGGCTCATAGGAAATGTTTTTTGTAGTGAATCATGCCTTGCCACAGGGTTAGACTTCAGCACAAATCTGTTTTCTGAGAACCTGGAATCATTACTACTAAAATGTTTCATACTATAAAAGTTAAGCACAGTCTTTTTCAAAGGGCTATTTTAGATGCTCAAGGATGAAAGCTTTAACAAAATCACAGGAAGAATAATTGATTTAATACAGCAGAAGAAAATGCTTTACTATCTTTGGCTATCTACAAAATAGAGCTACTGTCTAAAAAGCTACTGTTGAAAATAAGCATTTTTGAATAAATGTTTAATACTTAGTGTAAGTGGATAAGTGCTCTAGAGATTTCTTCCATTCTTCAAAAACAATATTCAAGTGTTCTATTAAGTCTGCTATGGAATAAATTTTGTAGCATCTATTGAGTCTTTTAAAATATTAAAGGAAGCATCTCAGGCCCCTGGCAGATGTTATGCTTAAGACAATTAACCTTTTAATCACATCTTAAATAGTAACCTAGCCACACTTTCAGGTAATTAAGGGCAAAACAAAACACAAAGCTAACCACAAAAATTTATTCATAAGATTAGTAGAAATTTTGTGGTTGGTTTTCATTTTACCTGAAACTGAACTTGTGGAAAGGTTCTTGTTTTTCTTATATCCCATTGTTTATGCTTTACCCTCTCTCACAAGCTACATTTAAGTGTTCCATTATCTGCCATGGTAAACTGGATGAATGAACAACAGAAACTTTAAAATCACAAGCTAATCTGTGCTAGCTCTTAAAACCAAAAACACACATTTTTATTTATGAAAAGTTAGTTCTTCTCTAGAAAAGCTAACTTAAAAATACAGCTCTATACTGTTACCATCAATTTCCCCTGTGATATTTTTCATGTTGGCAATACATTCACAATCAACATTTCATAATACTTTTGTTTATACCTGTCCTAGTCAAGAGTTAAAAAAGTCATTGTCCACAATTGAAGCTCTCCTGTTCTTGCTACCACCAAAAGCTAATTGGTTCTGGGAAGTTGGAAACAGTATGTATAGGGACACTAGAGCAGGTCTGCTAAAGTCAGCCAACGGTAAGAAGAAAATGGAACCTAGGTTTTCTAATAAAGCAGTCCAGCAGTTGAGTGGAAAGACAAGTGGGGTATTTGTCCTGAGAATACATTAAGACAAGCCTAGTTTAAATCTTCATGGGAATGGGGGAAAGGAGGTACCTGAAGGCAACAGCAGCCAGGGCCAAGTTTTGTCACTCCGCCAGTCAATAACACTCCTCTGAAGTGTCTTAAAAAGTTAAACAAAAGCCTATTCACAGCTGCCAACTACTCATTTCACAGAAGGCAACTTTTTCCCTCTAGCTTAGGCTTTATCTTTAATGCACAAGTATTGCATTTTTAATAATTAACTATTTTAAAAAGAGAGAATTTCCAAAGAAATTAAACAAACTGTGTCCATATTTCTTCATAGGTCCTCATATTATGAATTGGCTGGCCAGTCTGAAGTACAGTGAGGTTGACACAGCCAGCTGAGGCTCTTCATTTGGAAGATCACAGCAGTTTGAAGAACATAACAATACTGACACATGCAAAATACCAATTAAACAAAAAAAAGTCAGTCACCTATTAAAGTCCCATACTAAACAGCTTCTCAAGGAATTTGCCTCTTCACACCTACCTCTATCCTCTGTTCAAAGATAACAAGTAGATAAACTAAAAATTGACTATCCCTGCTAAACAGAACAGATCATATTGATCCTATAATCAAACAGCATTGGATTAGCAACAAAAAAGTTGGAATGATTTAACATATTCTGTAGGGAAATATACAACAGGGGATATAATCACACATAGTGTTCTCTAGGATTGATGTAGATTCTTCCAGCTCCTGGGTTTTGGTTTTTGGAACTCCAATCCTGGTAATGCATCTGCTTGTAAATTGGGTACATTTGTTGAGGACCTTCTTGTCCCAATTGCTCTCTCTCATCATAGTTAAGTTGCCTGCCACTTATTGGTTTCTAGAATACAAGAAATATTAGAATACTCCATTAAAATACTTTCATTTTACAAATATTTCTTCTGCACATTCTCTAAAATGCCATGCATCAACATCTGTGCCCATTCTTTACTCTATTTGAAGCTTCTAAGAACAAGACTTTAAAGGTATTTGAGTACCTAGTTCCTACTGAGATGAACAAGGGGTTTGGCACCTAAACATCTTCAAACATTTGGCCTTTATTTAAAAAGAAGAGACTCAACTGTTCTAGGTACTATAATTAAACTGGGGAAATATAAACTGAGAAAACAATTTTCTGTCCGACTTTCCTCATGAGATTGCACTGTGGAAAGCATCTTAGAAGGCAATAAAAGAAAGTCTCCCAAGAACATGAGAAAGTACACAGCAGTCAATATACTGTAACTGTTACATCTGCATGACTAGTGATCCTAGCAAACTAAATCATCTTAACTGACTCTGGATGAAGTAGGGTTACAAGCATAGCAAAACCGATCTAGTGTCACTATAGAACGGTGCAGACATTTAGTTATAGCATAATGTAACAGTTTGTATCTTTTGATAGGTATAGTTATGTCCATCTGTAATAGAAGTGATTCTATCAAATGGCTTTGATTTTGCTTCTTCACCAGTTATCAGTGTTGTCTAAAACTAATTTTAAAACATAAGATTTGAGTTACATTTAGCTTAGCTGATGCCCAGTATTGTGAGATGTAACTGATGTCTACATAACAGAACAAACCCACATATATAAATTGTTACTGACTTGGATGCCTAAGTCTAGAGTCTGTGGTTGATGATATAGCAAAAAATCTTTTAAGAACTTGCATCAGATTTGTTTAGCGTCACATGATTGGGCTGTATCAAAGAATCATTTTACTTACTTTGTGCTGTGAATTTCTAGCTGCTCTCTCTCTGTATGGGCTTTGCAAAGGGAAATTCTCTTTCTGTAGGGAACATAAATAATAGTGTAAGCATGCTTCAACACTGCAAATAGGTTTGACCATGATTTCTGCTTAAAAGCATTAAGTTAACAAGGCTTTCTACCTTGTCAAGCATTGATTTGATCATTTTTTCTAGAGGAAAAATTTTGACTAGCCCTTATTTCTGATATTTGCGAAAGGTTTACATGGTTGTGGTTAATTTAACCAATGTTATAACTTTTCTGAGGAAACCCTTTAGCTTTGCTTCTACTCAAAGTGCAAAGAAAAAGTTACAGAAAAAGAAAACTTTTTTTAATATCAATCAGCAACGTGTATTAGGAACTTTTTGTTGACTTATTTCCAGGGATCCTGTTTTTCTCAGATTAAAAAAAAAATCTCTGATCTTTGGATTAAAAAAAAAAGTAACCACAAATCCACATTGTTCCATGTTTAAAATGAAACACCACCAATATATAGATATGTATACAGCAGTGCTTCATTTTAATCACAGAAAAATGTGGATTTTGGGTTACTTTTTTAAATCGAAAAATTGCGGGGGGGGGAGGGGTTGTTTTGTTTTTTAATCAAAGAAAGCCAGGATATCCCTGCTGATCTGTCTACAAAGAAGTCAGCAGTCTTGGAAGCCACTTAATCATTGGGAGTAAGAGTGTATTTTTCAGTGCATTTTTCATTCCCTGTGTTTTGAATTTAAAACATGATTTTCCTGTGCAATTGTGATACAGTCAACTGCTTGAAAACAGCCATTAGGTAAAGTTCTGTAATATCTTATTCAAGTCAGCTAAAGGCTCTGCTATACCTTACACCAGGGGTTTTCAACCTTTAAGGAGTGTAATGCTTCTGGTAGGTACCCCTCCTAACTGTACTCCCTGGACAAGCGGGCAAGGTCCCCCAGCAGCTGGTTGACGAGCAGAAGGGGACAGCATGCTTCCCAAGTACTCCTTCTCTGCACTGCCACCGCGTACCCCCTGGGGCCTTCCCAAGTACCCCCACGGGTACACGTACCCCTGGTTGACAACAACTGCTTTACATTGCAAGATGCACGAATTTTAACTGGTGTTAGTGCTAGCTTGAGTTTGGAGCAGTCGCACTTCAGGCCAACCGGGACCTGGAGGACTGAAAGGTAAGAATCACCCTGCATCCCCCCTCTCATTCGGGGCTTCCCTGGCTCCTTACTGCCCACACCTACTTATAGCTGCCCACCTGTCTATTCTGGGAGTGCAGGCAGGGAAGGGTTAACTTGCTTGCCTGGGTGCCAGGGCTGCTGCTATTCTTTATGCTGAGCCACCCAAAGATCAGCAGTGGCAGGGGCTGGGCATGCAGGTTAACCCTTCCCCACCTGTTCCTCCAGGACAGACATAACAAGCTTCCACAAGCAAGCAGAAGCGAAAGGGGGCATCTGGGGAGGGTGGGCAGGGTGGACACACAGACAGGGACACACACTAACAAGGTACTTAAAGCAGACTAAGCCTTACATGTCTATGTATGTTCAGGCAGACTGTTGCTATATATTTGCTTATGATGCATTATGATACACTACACTATAAGGAATTCTAGTAAGCTATTTTTTAAAAACACGAAGTATCTTCATTGCACACTTCTAATATTTGATGCATTTAAATCTAGTTCTTAATATGACAGCACAGTTCCATGGTACAAGGAAAAGACAAAAATTTGCCCAGACTAATGAATGGGATCTTAAGAAAATGTCAGGCTAGGACAAAAATCCACAACCAAGAAAGCTTAAAGTGCAGTGATCCTTTTTACCGCTGAACTCTTCAATATAAGGTTTACTGATTTTTTTTTTTTTCCCATGAAAGGCAAGCTGTAGTAAGGACTTCATTGGTTTTAGGAACTGAACCACTAATAAGAGTTAAGGCCAGTTTATTCTGTAACAGCAATACATCAGAAAAAAAACAAAACAAAACAAAAAAACTTCCCTTTTCCCCACAGGAGGATCCACTGGAATGGCAAGCAGGCTATAGTATTACTTACTTCATGTGAGCCACGATAAGTGAGGCTGCCTGAGAAACTCCCTGCCAGCAGACCTGTACACATTAGAGTAAGTTGACAGGTCTTTGGTATAACCTCCCCTTTCGTTCTATTATCTTTTATCTTGAGTTCCCTTTCAGACTCGCTTGTTTTCACTGTTTATTGCTTTTGGCCTGTTAGACAATTTTGCTAAGGTAACCACCACTCGCTTCAAAATCCTGACATTATGACTTCATACCTTATGCATATAGGAAGGCATACTTTATAAAGAATAATTCTTTTTCTATGCTCAAAAACTCTTGCATATCAAGAAGCCTCATCTTCGTAATGTTGTGAAATTCATAATGTAGACTATTTCTAAGCTTTTAAATAGAAATTGGTTTTGCAGGCTCCTACATTATTTTCTTTTAAGATTGCACATGTGCGACTCACATAGCTTGTATCAAGCTAAAATTCTGCTGGATGTAAGCATGTGTACCTGAATTTCAAATGATAGGGTACTTTGCATCACTTAAGTTACCTACATATTTGTATATATTTTACAAAAACGAATCTCACAAAAATATCACCATCACTATCTTTTGTCATTATAATTTACATCTTTCCCCATAATAGTGCAGTATTCATCCTAATATGCTTTATGGCAAAGCCACCATTTTTTGCTTAAAGTCCAGTATTTTTCTATCACACAACTTGCCTTATTCTTATTTGGCCCCTATTTGGATATCAATACCTTTGGGATAGAAATAATAGGTTCCCCTGTTTCGGACAATGCCCCCTCTCAGTCATTCATGTTTCCTCTGCACTCCTTTAATCTTATAACATTAACTGTGAAATACAGCATGTAAGCAGATAACTGTTCCCAAAGGTGAGTATTGGTTATTCTGGGTAGGAAGACATTTTAGTACCAGGCTTTTCAAGTTGTTCATAATTAATGCCTTCATCTATATTTCTTACATGCTCCTATACCCAACACTACCTTATGTTTTTCAATTTAATACCCATACATCACTGAGCTTCTCTAGTACTATGAAACAAATACAAAGAGCCAGTGACTTTGATAAGTTGTTGTGACAGACAGGAAACTGAACATGTGCTCCCTGGTATTTCAGACTACCACCATAACCATCAGGGCATTTTTCCTAACAGGTGTAAGAAACACTGGTTGCAAATGGGAACAAAGGTCTCTCAAGTGTCAACTAATGGTTGCCTTGGTTTGTTTTAGACAATGCACAATAATCCCAAATGGCATAAAAATTCAAGGAAGCAATTTGAACTCCATGTAGAAATCATGTTACGTATGTAGAATGTAGGCAGGATCTATATATTGCTCATTTCAATCCGATGACAATCGCTCTTTTAGATAAGCCCAAGAATAGCTGGTCCCAGGTGATGCTAAAACTGACTGACCATGGGTGACTGGTGCCTCCTGAGCCTGAGGTGTGGGGCACATTTTGTGGGCAGCAGCATCAGTGGCGGGCTGGCAAGCAGCGACTTCCCACAGAAGCGAACGTCAGCAGCCGGGGAGGAGGGATGGTGAACAGTGACTGCCTGCAGAAGCTGGCATTGGCCAATCTCAGGGGAGCACTTGCCCCCCCCCCGCCTATGTGACTGACACTGGACTTTACACAGTAAGGAAGAATATTTAGTCATGGTCCTAAATGCCAGAATTACCTAGGTTCTAGTTCAAAACCCCACAAAGTTAGATTTAAGTTGTATTTTTACCCATGTACTAATGCTGTATTATACAAGAAGTTTTTGTAGAAGCAGCAGCCTATACTTCAAGCAGGAAGATTTTCCATATTTCATTAATAGTTTGTCTTCATCAAGTTTTCCCTTTGGCTTCTTAGATTCACACTCCTATTCCCCCTCACCTTCCTGATTTATTACGTGTTGGGCAACTGGACGAATGCAAACACCAGCAAATTAATAACTATGCATGTTGGGGGTAGGGAGTGGAGTTCAGGAGCATGAGGTATACATTGCTAAAGTCTGAATAATGAAGAACTTTAAGAAGTTCAGCAGATACTTAGGGGGTCACAAAAAGCAAAGAGACACCAAGCTTTATAAAAATGTAAGTCACCAATTTTTTTTTTAAATGCTTGCCTTCAAATCTTTGCTCTGCTTGCCTGTAACTATGCCTTATGAAGCTGGTGCTTTTTCACTGACAGCAGTTCAAATGTTTGAAAGCAAACTCAGGTTTAGCGACTCCTAGCATTTTAACTCACTGAAATGGAAATGAATATCCTATAAGGGTTTCTTTATCTGTCATTCATCTATCACCTCTTGGGAAAGATGCCAAAATCTGAAACTGATTTGAGAATAAAATATGGGTATCACAACAACAGACATCAATATCCTTTAGAGAGAGCCATCTAAGGTTACTGGGCATTAGTTTCTGTCTCTTCTCTGCTGCCATTATTGTGAAATCTTTCAGATGAGTAGGGAAATATAGGCAACTCAAGTTTTTTTTTATTGTCAAAGAATGCAGAAAATCCAAAACCATCAGCCATTCACAGTGCAGGACAAACACTTGAAATTTATCAGTCTTTCTAATACTGTGAACATATACTCACCACCTAGAAGTCACTCGCCCTGGTCATATGAGAAATGCAAAACGTGTCTAGCTATAGCTAACTCTTTAAAGGCCAAGATGTGATTTCAGTAATTAAGATGACAAATAAGATTCAAATCTTATGTTCAATTGGTCTAAGTTTCCCCGATTCCAATATTTGCAGCATTTCTCCTTAGTCAAGGCTTGGAAGCTACCACATACCTTATCCCATTTTGGGGCCAGTATGTTAAATAGTTTAGTTTGGTCAGAGTAGGCCAGGAAGAGGTCTCAGAGGAGGCAAAACTGCTGAAGAAATCTTACTGCTGAGCAGCTGAAACTGAACAAACAGCACAGTACCTACTGTCACCATACTGGATCTATGCCACAAGATTGAATCAGTAAACACAGACAGACTATTACACTAGTTTTAATGCCCTGTTACTGACCTCTACTACTAAAG